GGGCATGGGCGCACCCCCCCCCCCCCCCCCCCCCCCCCGTCTCTCCGCCCCGTGCCTTCTCCCCCGGGCGCCGGGCGCGCCCCTGTTGGGTCGGCGCGCGAGTGCCAACGGTGGCGAGTGATCGTCGGGGCACCTGAGCCCCGCACGTGCGCGGCCCCGTGCGCGGCGTTCGCCCAAAAGTTTTGATTGTGGGTTTCTGTCTGGGTGTTTTCCCCCGCCCCCGGGGGCGTACCGCGGCGCGGCCGTGTGGCCCCTGTGCTGCTGCCCTCCGGATCCCGCACGCCCGGCCCCTGTGCGCCTTGGCTCGGCTGCTGCTGGCGGAGGCTCATTTGAACCGGCCCGAGGGCTTCCGCAGGGGCCGGCCACTGATAAGTGTTTTTTGCCAACCTGCGTGCAGGGGCCCAGCGGGGGGGGGGGGGGGTGGCCGGGAGGAGGGGGCCGCGGAGGGCCCGGCCACCGGAAGCGGGCCAGCCCGTCCGCCGGGGGCGCGTCTCTCGCAGGCGAGGAGAGGGGGGGCGTGTTTTTCGTCGCGGAGCAGGGGTCCATTTTGTGGGGGGGGGGGGGGTTCTCTTCGGCCCCCTTGCCGCCCTTGGGAGCAAGGAGCAGGGGACAGACCGGCGAGCCGGGGGGGGGGGGATGGCCAGCGCGAGGAGAGGGCACCGGCGGGCCCGCAGCCCGGTCGAGCCGGGCACCGCGCCTTGGCGGGCTGGCAGGCCGGCCGGCCCGCATCTTCCACCTTCCGGTGTCCGCCGGGAGGTGCTTTGCTTTTGGCAGCGCCCCGCTTTTGGGGGTGCCGGCCTGCGCGCCCGGCCGGGCACCACCAAAATGGCTTGCCGGCCGGCCGGCCGCATGGCGAGCGTGTCATGGGGTTGGCATGCGCGGCGATCGGCGCGCGGGCCGGCGCATCGGCCTGCCAGCCCCGGCGCCGGCTTCGCGGGACAAACCGGGTGCTTCGGCTTCCCCGTATTCCGGCGGCAATGGCTGGGAAGCCATGTCCGTGCATGGGGCGCGCGCGCGCGCGCGCGCGTGCCTCGGCGAGGCGCCCGGGCTCGGCGGTGGCCAGAGGGCGCGAGGGGCGGGGCGTGTGTGGCGGAAGTCACTTCACAGCGCGACACCGGCTCGCCGGCCCTCGCGCGGCCCGCCCTCGGCAGGCCGCGCCATGCCCCCGCCCCTGCCCTTGCCCTGGGCCCGCTCCGGGACCCATCGCCGGCCGACGACCGGCCAGGGCGCACAGTATAAGCGCCGGTGGTTACCGCTGTCCGGGGGGCCGCCCGCGGTCCATGCACTCGCGCCCCGCCCCCCTACTCCCCTCCTTGACCAGCCGCTTTCCCGCTTGCGCCCAGCGTGCACCCCGCTGCCATCCCGCTGCCCTGCCCCGCTCCCCTCCGCGCGCACCTGCACCCTCCCCCGCCCCCCTCCCCCGCCTGTACTCACTTGCTCCGTCCTCCTCGCCCCCCCAAGGCCGAGAGACAGAGAGAGAGAGAGAGAGCGCTCGACAGCGAGCGTAGATCGCGTCATGGCTGCCTCGAGTCGCGGCCGCTTCGCGGCCTTCCGCCGGGTCACCTGCACCGCCGGCCTGCTGGTCCTTTGCCTGGCGGCCCTGTGCCGGGGCCCCGGGGCGCAAGCCCTGCCGGTGGTGCAGACGCCCGACACGGCGGCCAGCGCCTCCGGCCAGTCCTTCGTGCCGTCGTACGTGATCATGCCGCCGATCAAGCCGCCGCAGCCGGAGTCCTTCATCCTGGAGCTGAAGGCCCCGAGCCCGGTGCACAACAAGACCTTCGCCGAGATGATCGAGCGCCACCTGCAGAAGATCGTTTCGTCGGCCGGCTCCGGCAGCATGGCCGGCGTGGCGCTGGAAGACCTGGACGACCGCGACGATGACTGGCCCGAGGCCGAGCCCGGGCCCGGCGCGCCGGCGGTCCGCGCATACCGGACTGCCCTGGCCGAGGCCGGCCTCGGGCTGGCCTCCAACCGGACCCCGCGCGCGCGCACCATCATCGGCGGCAACCAGTATGGCTACTGGATCCGCCTGGACTACGAGTATGAGGTGATCTTCATCTGGCGGCCGCTGCCTTCCAAGACCGGGTCCGGCATCAGCCGCTACCCCAGCAAGGAGGGTCTGGTCACTGTGAGCAGCAGCAGCAGCACCATCACCACCAACCAGGCCTCGGTGCTCATGGACTCGGGCTCGGGCTCGGGTCGGGCCACCGGCGAGCTGCCCTTCCCGACGAATGGCACCCTGCCGGGGGGCCTGGAGGACATCGTCACCTCGGTGGACGGCGACGAGGACAGGAAATCCCCGCAGGTGGTCCGAGTGAACAACCGCCTCCAGCACAAGGGCCTCCTCAGCATCCAGGGCGCCACGGCCGACATGATTGACGACATCCGCAACTGGGCCGAGATCAAGGGCATCGAGGTGCGGCCCGGGGCTCCTTTGCCGGGGGGAGAGGGCAGGGGGGGGGGGGGGGGGGCCTGCCCTGGCCAACTTGCCCTGGCGCGCCGTGTGCTGACATCGTCCCGCTTTGCTGGGTCCCGACTGGCGCCGGTGGCACGGGCCCGGTG